TATGACTGTATGGGGTCCCATCCATTGAGGTTCCAACGATTGAGAATGCAGTTCCTGAAGTAAGACTGAGTCACCCAGTTGAAGAGGGTCCAATTCAGTTGGTGGTTGTGCAGGGATTGAGGCAATGAATGGCACAGGAAGGCACTGGTCTGCATCTTCTCTTAGGAGTTTGCATAGAAGTGTGAGATTAGGCAGGTAGGACACAAGGGGAGAAGGAGTGATTGGAAAGCTTTGGTTAATTAAGAAAGGGCGCTCAGAGAGTAGCTCAAAGGGGCTAAGGCCTGAGGGAGCTCTTGGGGCTACCTGAATTCAGGTGAGGGCCAATGGCAGGAGATTGGGCCTGAAGAGCCGGAGTTCAATAGCATGTTTAGTGAGATGATCCTTGAGAATGCCGTTAGGCCTCTCAATCTTACCCAAGGATTGGGGTTGATAGGAGATGTGGAACCTCCAAGTTATGTTGAGACCTTTGGAGACTAGTTGAACAACCTGAGAAGTGAAGGCCAGACTGTTGTCTGACTGGATGGAAGTGGGAAGTTCGAACCTGGGAACGATCTGCTGGATGAGGATGGAGGTGACAGTGTCAGCAATTTCCCTGGATGTAGGGAAGGGTTCTATCCAACCTGAAAAAGTATCAACTAATGTAAGTAGGTAGCAAAGCTTTTTGTGCCTAGGCACATGAGTGAAGTTGATCTACCAGTCTTTGCCTGCTAGTGGCTCCTCATCTGAGGTGTGAGGAGTTTAGGTTTGATTCTTCCTTGTGGGGATACTGTAGAGCAGACAGAGTAAGCAGAGAGGACATGCTAAAGAGTAGTTATCATTCCTAGGAAGTGAAAGAGGGGTTGTGAAAACTGGAAAAAGGGGTTAGAGAAGGTTTTAGATGGGCAGAGTCTCTGGAGCCAGAGGAGTTGGTCATGATTCATAGGTCTCAATCTTGGGCATCAGGGCTGGTAGTCTTAAAGAAGTAGTTGATTGACTGACTTGTTGGTGAATTTGTGTATCTAATCTTGCAGGAACTTATGTAGGCAATTTAATAGACATGGTCCTATTAGGAGAAACATAGAGAGGACTAATAGGGGTCCTGTGAGGGGGAGGAGCCAAGGCCATACTTGACTGAACATTCCCCATGGAGCCTGTTGGCTTAGTTGCTGTCTCCTCTTTTCTAGTTGTTCTTGTCTTTCACTACTCCCAGGAATGACTGTGTTTTGGCTTAACTGTTTGGTAGGTGTTTAAGATCAAGTTGTTCAAAATTGACTTTGTTTCTATCTATTGTTAAGAGTCAGCCAAGTTCCCATAGGGGTCGCTCGTGGGGGAACTTGAGAGCAGCTTCTTAGTTCTGCTAGTGCCATTTGCGCTAGGATGGGTCCAGGTCTTGCTTGACCATGTGGCTTCCCTTGGAAGCATCAGGGATGTCTCCTGTCTCCGATGACCCTCCTATTCACAGCAAGTGCACTGGTTGGCTTTTCATTCTCTAGTGGTCTCAATAATCTCCCTGATCAGGAGGTTATGTGGCCCAGAGTTGCAAAGCTCTTTAGAGAAGTTCCCTGTTCCCTGGATTCAGACTGACTCAGAGGGCCAGAGCCAAATATTGGTTTTCTTGGCCATTTTAATTTAACTTTATGTCTTGATCATAAACATCCAGCAAAGTCAGTTTCACCCTAAATTAAGAGTACTAGGCTTTAACTAAAGTCTGGCCTACTTTGGAGTCATTCTGACATGTAGTAAGATGGGAAGCACAGCCTTATCTCAGGTAAGACTAAGATTTATAAATCTTAGGTAAAGTGTTCTACTATCGAACTAATCTTTGTTTTTAAATATCATTTTATAAAGTTTATATATGTTGTTGCTTGATGTCACATAAATACTAGGTAATACAGTATATTACATTTAAATTGTACCCAGTGTATAGAACTTTATATTAATCTTATTGATAACAAGTCCAGTTATAGAACATTAAATGATATAAATAAATCTCCAATA